AGAAACAGCGCAGTTCAACCTTAAACATGTGAATTCGACACAGTAAGCCTGGCGTGAATAAGAAACCGGAAAGCTTGCGCTACCTTCTGGGAGCTTTGCATCTTTTTAAGGTGGACCAGTTAGATATATATACACATCATCTGACAGTTGGTGTCTTACACAGACTGCTTACTCTGCAAGTAGGGAGCTGGGCTACTCCATCTTGAAGAGGTCGCCAGCCCATCACAGCGCCACTCGGCACAAATGGGCTTCAGTTCAGTATGGCAATCTTTACTCAGTGAAGCTCCACATCTATTAATTGACTAGAGCGCTTGGTCTCCTATGCACCTAAAGTTTGTTTGCGGTCTGTGTTCTGGTACTTCTAGGTGGTTGCACCTCACAGGCGGTGGATAAGTAGATTATATAAAAGAGCAACAATTAATGAAATTATTAACTTACTTTTCTGTGAGATCTTTTATGCGAGATTCAGTGGAGTTGTCTTCTAGAAGAGTTGTCAGCTGCACATAGGTTCTGTTGGCCACTTCAAAGGCCTCTTCTGCTAACCGCTCGATATGATCAGCCATTCCTGAGTGGCTATTTAAAGAATCATTAAAAATGTTTCCAGAAACTCTTCTTTAATTCAAACATGTTTAGAATGCTCCACCTTTTTGCAAGCACCTCCGATTCATTTACTATGGCGTTCCATTTATTTGGTTCCTTGGGGATTACAGAAGGAATGACCTGACAAAACGATGTTTGAAGAGAAGCAAAAAGACATTAAAGGCTCACACTCAGACAAATCTCTTACAGACGGATTAGTGGTTAATTATTCATACCGCGCAGACTCACCATGCTGTTAAGTTCAAGAGTCATCCTCTGAAGCTGGTCCTGCATCTTCACAGCAGAGGATAGAGTGTCAATGAGCTCTTGACACTCACTTTCAACCTTTAGAATCTTTTCTTCCTCCGAATCTTTCTCATTGTCAGTGATATTGCAGTTCAACGCTGATGCAATGTTAAGCAGCTGGTGCTCTAAGGTCTGGCCAGATGTTTCCAGCTGTGAGAACTGCTTAGTGAAGGCCTCACGAGCCTCTACATCAAAGCAAGGATAGCAGTGAATACATATTTTATGGAACATCAAATAGATTTGTATAAGTAGAAATATCCTCAAAAGCCTTTTTTTTATCATTAAAGTAAAAAAAGTTTTACCGTCATGGTAAAAAAAGGCTTATAGGGCTCTTAAAAGGCTTATAGGGCCAATGTGGTCCAGTAATGTAGACATGATAAAGTAATAAACACAAATATGTGCAATATCTGTTCACCTTGAATAGCCAGAAGGTCCTCCAGAGCATTGGGCAGGTCATCTTCATCCTGGTCCTTCTGAATGTGATTGTCCAGTTCATTAAACTGATGCCGGTGCTGCTGCCGTCGACTGGACCTACTGCAGTCATAACTACTGAGCAGCATCTCCAGCTCCTTCAGTTTGCTTTTCAGTTTATTTGCCTGTACAAAGTAAAATCATCATTTAGAATCTAGAAACAATAAGCAAAAGGAGTCGCGAAGGAAACAAACCTCTAAAACACATGAACATTAAACTTTGAACCCAATCAGCCTCTAACCAGCTTTCTCTCACCTGGTCTCGGATGAGGCTATAGCACACTGGGCATTCCTCACACTGGTGGGTCAGACGGTTCTGGTAGTAGTTCGGTTCACATCTGTCACACTTATAACCAACAAATCCCTGGCGACAAGAACATGTGCCATTCCCATGACACTGCATCGAGGTTGAGCCCATGGGATCACAGTTGCATGCTGAAGGAGGGAGTGAATAGTGAATTTAGGATCTCTGTACTACAAGCAAACATGCAGATGTTTAATGATTAATAATTAATAATAAATCATGTTCAAAATACACAACTGTCTGGCCCCATGGTGTAGTGGATGGTGGACCGGACATGTATGTGCATTTGCACCAAGTGAGTCTAACATGTGAAGCAAAAGTGCTGCGATCGCCCCCCTGTGGACGGCTGCAGAATGACTTCTCGCCAATACAAACTTTATGGAATTGAGCCAAACTTTGAAAATGATTTTTAAATTACGTAAGTAACGTTTCTATGTGATTTTTGATAGTTCTCTATACATTGGACAAAGTTCTTGATTTTTTTTTTACTTTATATTTGTATGGCTCATTAATCCTCCGAAAAACTATAGGAACATTGTTCAATCTTAAATAAAGGCGAAAAAGATCACAAAATAAATATTGAAAAAAAATACACCCACTTCTGATCTAAAATACATGATCTGAATACAATGTTTTTTAATTGTTTTTGTTTTTTTAAGCAATCAACCTAATTTGGCATTGTTGTTTGAAATGGTTACATACGTTTGGAAAAGCTTCTTTTGTAATGCTTGGTCTTTTTAAAAAAAACTTTTGCCCCTATTGTGTCATAGTGGAAACCACACCTCTACATCCTCGAGAGGAGAAACCAAAGAATCCCATTCGACAAGTGTCACATGACCATCCATCTACACCTGTTCGACAGAAGCAGTGTCCTGTGATTGGATGACATTCTGAAGACACCGAGCCAATAGGATTGCAGTTACACCTGTGAAAAGCATAATGGATGTGCTATTATTGTAAAAACCCTATTGAAAGACCAGCAAACAAATCTCAAACTTACATTTCACAGCCCACACCTGGCTGCAGATTGAAGTACCCAGCCTCACATTGTCCACAGTCTCTTCCTGTCACATGATTTAAACAATCACAGTTTCCTGTATCTGGATGGCAGTCATTCAGAGACCCAGATGTCCCAGCTATGTTACAGGCACAAGCTGGAAATAGAACATTCTGGATCATTATATGTAGTATGCGTTTGCTTTTTTTAAATGTTTTAAATGAAATATAAAAATTCTGCTGACGAATCACATGGACAAAATGTACTTTTAAATTAAATGGAAGCTGGTTGTTATGAAGTTCTGGTCCATCAGCTCAAACCAGCTCAGAAAAGCTTAAACCAGCCAACAATTTCAAAACCACAGCTTGATCTAGACAGGCTGATTTATATATGTACAAAACACTGGATAAAACACTTGAGAAGCTTTATGTATATCACTTAAAAAATAACTAATTTACATCAGCGCTCTAAAAACAATAATCAAATAATTTTAAATGACACTCACGCTTGCACTTCCTCTCTGGGTTGAGTTCATTGGCCAAAGCATTCCCATAGTAACCAGATCTGCATTTTTCACAGTGGTCTCCTGTCGTATGTCCCAGGCATTTCAGACAGTGTCCAGTCATGTGATCACACACACCCACTGCATTGAAATCCACATTCCCATTACACTCACACCTCACACAGGCTTGCACTGTCCCACCCCAGCCAAGAGGGTTGCCATAGAAACCGTCTTCACATAATTCACATCGTACACCTAGAAAAGGACATAAAAGCAGAAAAACAGAACTGACATAATATTGCCTTGCATTTATTTACAGTGAATTTGTGGTGCAAAGTGTTTAGCGTGTATCATTAGCAGTGCTGGAAATCATGTAAACTGCAGAAGAAATCACAGCAACTGACCCCTTTGACCTTTGGGACAGTTGGTACAAACAACATCCCCTGTTTCTGGCACCTGGACACAGGTGGTGTGATCTGGACAAGGACAAGGTGAGCAGTCGCCTGGGCTGCCAGTCAAGGCATTGCCATAGTAACCATTGCCACAGCGCTCACAATGACGGCCTGTGGTGAAGTCTGTGCAGTCACACTCTCCTACAAAAAGATACATGCAACAAGCAAAACCTCTTTTAGGTTTAATAATCAAGCCAAATTAGCAACCATTCAAATACACAGATGTAAACGTATGAATGCTAATTTCTTAGCTGATGACTTACAATGCAACCCAGAACATGCTTCCATTGTATTCAGGTGTTTATTTGGCAAGATAATGTATCAAAGTTGGTGAATGAAAGAAAACAGCATATAGATGGACTGAGAAATCAATAACAGGAACCAGTGTGAGACCTTCAATGAAAAGCCGCTTAGCTGCTAAACAGAATATCATTATGAGCAAACAGCTCCCTGTGGAAACTGTCATGAGGAATTAATTCTGAACGCAATAAGAAGACTGATTCTGTCTCAAATATTTAATCTTAAGCACATTAGTTAACTATTCAAAAGTGGTACTTTAGCTTAAAATTTTAACTAAGTGACATGAAACATAATTACAATTAAATCAAAATGTCCCTGCCAAATAACTCAACTCATAACTCCTCACTAAACTCTGGCTGTGCCACTTTATCCCACACAGCAATTTTATTTCAGAAATAAATTCTGCAATTCCCCCCTTGTCCTACGCTTTTCACAGAATGGGTTTCCCTTCACCCCGCCATCTACTTTTATTTCTCTCTCTCCCTCTCTCTCTGAGTAGTGCCTGTTTCAACTGATTCATGTCTAATGTTTAAGCTAAATAAAGCTGTGTTTTCTGTTAAATCTAATCAAATGTTGCTTTCAGAGTCCTTTTACTTATTAATATACTACTAGAACACAAGCATCTACACGAAAGTACTATATAAATGCATTCTACTTGACTTGGATCATCAAAAGACCGCAAAGAACCCACAGTCCTTCCAGAACATTTTTTTTCGATCTGGGGCATCGCTATTTTATAAATGGAAGAGAAGAGCAATTTTAGACAGCAATTTACAATAGCTTTGAAATTTCTGACTTCCAATTTGAAAACTTGCTTTCATAATGAAGTTTGGTCTATTTGCAAGAGAGATAACCACAATTCATTCATTCATTTTCATACCCGCTTATTCCCTTTCGGGGTTACGGGGGTCTCCAGCACACACTGGGCGAAAGGAGGGGTGCACCCTGGACAGGTCACCAGTCCATCGCAGGGTAACAGTCAATCACACATTCACAACTAAAGGGAATTTAGATTCTTCACTTAACCTAACCGCATGGTTTTTGGGACGGCGAGCCTCGAACCGAAAACCTTCTAACTGGGAGGCCACAGTGCTACCCAGGAACCCGGGACCTCTCGCACCCAAAGCGAGAATCATACCCCTAGACCAACAAGCTATGATGACCACAATAAATAGAATAATTGTGGGCAAGTAAATGCGGTGACATATTGCAACACATATATTCAACCCCTCTCTAGAACAATGCCTGCAAGATGAAGAGTGCTGCTCTGCTTATAGATATATTTCAGGTCTAGACCCACAAACCAGATTAACCCAATTTAAGTAATCTTCGCTTGTGTGGTGCACTTCAAAAGAAAAAGAGACCCGCAGAAAAAAAAAACCCGCAGGATTGCTGCCCTTCAGGACAAACACTGTCTAACTTTGCTTTAACTGTTGAGTTAAGTTTAGGTTCATACTGTTCTTCAGATATGCAACAGTGATATCATCCAAGTTTAATGTTTTTTTTTATATAACTTTTCTATTTAATTCACCCCTGTTAGATACATGATACGTAGTTTAATGCCAGTGGTATCTAAAATGTATTTAAGTTTATTTTTGGTCTTATGGGTTGAGAGTTGAATCAAGGCATTTTCCCAAGTAGCCGTGCAACATTCGTTGTTATTTGAAACACCCCTTTGCCAACAGACTCAGGTTTCAGATGTTTTCTAGCTCCAACACATTTGTATAGTTGAATGTAGACCATTCCTGATAACAAATTCCTCATAAATGGATAAGAAGTGCACTACCGATACAAAACACCAGATGGCAATACACTACTAAATATAAAGGAAGTGTGTTTTTATATAACAACTACAATTAAACATCTCTGATCTTTTCTCTAAATACATCCTAATATCACCCTAATGTATGAATGTACCATAAAACATCATTATTTATTTCCGATTATCGATAATTTGAGCTCTAAACAAACTGTTTGTAAAAAATAAATCCTCCTACTTTTTGAGCCATTAGAGATTCGCAAAGCATCTCACATATTTAGTAAGAAAGAGACAAGACAATAAATTACACACTTGACAATGAAAATGACTGAATGCTGTATAGTCTTCATTCTACAGACCCCAGAGACACAAACACAGTGATTAATCAATCATTTAAAACCTGCTGTCCTTAATAATAACCAATGATGGAAGAGAAAACAAGTCAATGAGGTGGCATAGAGAGACTTGAGCTCTGTGTGAAAGCTAATTCACACCCATCAATCAGGCAATCACATAATAAAGATCTAAAGACTGGTTCACGCCATCTCTTAGAAGATCTAAATGCCACAGAGGGAATCCTGCAAGCTTAGCACTAATAGATTCGATAAGGCTTCACTCTGAAAAAGATCGAGCGAGAGAAAGCAATTCTAAGAGACCAAAATTTAATTATTAACTGATGTGTAGAATACGCCAAAGGGTTTTCTCGTTTGTCACAACTCAATCTGATTTGTTAGGTGAGTACAGATGTTTATTTGCTGGAATTTTCTTCTTATATTAATAGCAAAGATTCTAAAACAAGGTCTGTGAAGTTTGGCAGAAGGCGGCTTTATTTATCTCAAACATTTATCATGTTTAGCATGCCTAAACTAAGCCATTGTGAGCTCTGATGGGAGAGAAAGAGAGAGAGAGGGAGGAAGGGGAGGTGAGATAGATTAAAAGGACAGGCGCCTTTGAGTGCCCCTCTTATTTGCGCTCACTCACTTCCTGTTATAAGACGTTCTTTTTGTTCCAATGAAATGATTAAAATTCTCTCTTATATCTGTAACGTCATTTACCCCCCAAACAATTCTTTACTTTGTGAAAAAACAGCTCTGTTCAACGTAAATCATTTTAAATGATCCCTTTAATGATCCTTAGCTACCACTGACCACTCCCCCATCATCGAGCAGTAGTTTTTTCACTGCAGTATCCGGAAGCTGTTATAAGTAAATGACATCTGTACTTGTGTATTAAAATTAAATAAAAAAATTTGACGCGTCATGAGTGAATATTATTCCTGCAAAACAGTTGTTTTTTAGAATGTAAAAATAGCTCTTTAAATTTCAACTCTCCATTTTTTGCTGTGCAGAAAGGAAAAAAAATGATCATTCTTTTTTTTGTAATTAGGTCACAACGATGTGTCATCAACTTCACATTTCATAATGCTTTTAACAGCATTCAGCACATTATTACATCACAGTCCTTTCCATTACACCGACGCCTGGAAAAGTAGAGTCTATTCTTTTCCAAACTTAGCACACAAAGCAACAATCTAAGGGGAAAAAGGTTTTTATGGAAGCTTATATCTATGCGGCAACCAAATAACTGCTAACAAAAGCTATTTTATTTGCTTCAGTGTTAATGGAGTCAGCAATTATCTAGACAACTACTTCCAGAAATCTCAGTCCATCTTGGAGACACACTACAACTGTGACCGTTGCGAAAGAGACTGTGTAAGATTTCTGACCACCACTAACAGACTAAAAGCAAAGAAATAAACAGAAAAGAAAAACGCAGAGGAAAAAAACACACAACAAAACAGACGTAAAGCACAATAACTTCAATACTTCATAAAGAAGTCTGGAGCTTTCACAGAAACATCATAGGGTTTTTTTTTGTTGTTGCTTGGTTGGATTTTATAAACAGCTGGCTGCAGATCTGTTCCTCTTTCTCTGTTTATTTGTTCTTCCAAATTAGATTTAAGAGGTATTTTATTCCCAGTCTTTGGGAGGTCTGGGAACACAGTGTGTGTAACCATATGTGTCTGTGTCGCTCTGACCCAAAGGAACAAAATGAACTCTAATGTCTCCCCCAAAGAACCACTGCCCCATATATCACTTCAAGACAAAGCTGAACTCTCACCAAGATCAATACCGTTCTCTTACACAACGAAACTGAGGACTCAGAGCAACACAACACTTAACAGCAAAAATGGTTTAGTAAACCGTGCTACACTTTCAATTAAAATGCTGAAGCAAGCAGGTTTCTTTATGTTAGAATCAAGTGAACAAAAGCATGAACCAGATTTATACTTTTTAGCACTTTTGAACTCTCTGAAAAAGAATATAAATTTTGAATTGCATGACCCCCTAACCCTAGATGTCATCCCCTGTGGAGAAGTTGGTTATTTTGTCTGCTACTTCCAAGAGGAGTAGCACAGTCTAGCAAGAGTTGGGATTGTGCTGTTGTTGGGTGTAAAGAAAACATAATTTCCAACAACTTTTTGAGGATAAACTGTGTAAACATTGGCATTTGTAGATGCCGCACATGGATGCATTTTTAGGAAACCCACATGCCAACACTGTTTATAAAATATATAAAATAGAACTTCATAATAGGTTAAAAAAACTCAACCTTTCACCTCTCGAATCTAGTGGCTTGAATCACATCACATGATGTTTTATCACAGGTCGAAGTTCAACCCAGTTGTTTCAAATTCTATCAAAGTTTATATTTGAATAGAACCCACTGAGGAATTTCATGTAGTCTGTAAAGAATATATATTACATTTCTGGAGGAGTTATTAGGACAGCCACCAAACTTTGCCAAGACAACCATATTGGTCTGAATAGAGTTGATGTATCTTTTCAGACTGGTACCACAAAAGGAATTTTGGGAAATCACTGAGAATGCTGGGGAGTGTTCTGTTCAATTGACTTAACTTGGGGTCAAACTCAGCTTTGGAAAAATCATAGACGTGTGTGTGTGCGTGGGGGGGGGGGTGCTTTAGGTTGTTCATATTGACATGGGAATTGACATGGATGCGTTGGGTTGGGTTATTTTACTCATATTCCATAGCAACTAAACTTTTTTTTACCATAGCAACCATATCAGAAGATCTAAAGCCCAACTACTGGAAACATGGGACTTGGTATACATATTATCAAAGTTTAAATATCATAGATCCCTCCATAGCAACCAAATTGTTTAACCTAGCAACCAATTTAAAGGATCTATAGCTCAGCTTGGAACATCTTTGATTAGAAATGTCATAGGAAGGGGCACATTTTATAAAAATAGTTGTAAAAATCACGTTTACAAGCCAACATTAAAGTTTGAGTGCAAATTAGTTGAAGTTGGTGTCACTTCCAGATAAAACGTTTGAAAAAGTGACATTAGAACCAAGTATGGGGTGACCCACTTGTCTGAAATCTAGATCCAGTTTTTATCCCACAGTGTCACGGTCATATGTGGAAATCTTCCTTTTCAAGTGAACAATAGTACAGAATCGAGACCACACATGAATGAGGTACATTTGTGAAGCACTTTTACTTGAGTTCACTGTCCCGATCATGTTGCAATCCAAAGGCAACAAGTGTAATTTGGACCAGATTTAGTCAAATCAAAACTAAGACGAGTAAGATGATGGATGACATTACTGTCAGCACAGCAACCGATGATGAGAACGTGTGCAATACTGCTCAAATGATTAATCACACAACATTTTTCAGCGCCAAGAGCAGGCTCCACCTGGTCACAGAGGTTTAAAGTGAGAAAGTGAGTCAGGAGGGAGAAAGAAAAGGTGAAAGAGGTTACATTTAATTCTGTTTGAGTGTAAAAGAAATGCCGGCTACCATCTGTCTGCCGGCCTCAGCGGATGTTAAAGCTGCCCGTATGGTAATGTGAGACAGATGTGGTGGCTATTGATGGGTGGATGCCACACACCCACAGAGAAAAAAGAGGTAACATCACTTTCCAGTCTCCAGATCAAAAGCTTTATCTTAAAAGTTGTCTTCATTTGCATTCTGGATCAAAAGTCTCCTTGTTCTCTCATGCTGCTTCTTGACTGACAGTGATATCTGATAATATTCTCCCACAGAGACTCTGATCTATTTTTAATGGCTAATCAATCAAGATTAATCAAGTAATTCTACAATATGTCCACCTAACGGTTACAAGACCGCCAGGTTCATTTTATATTCAAATGAGAGTCCTAAATATTCACAGGCTCATCTGTGCTATGCTAAACAGTGAGCTACCGTACGTCCAGAGGTCTGCTGGGATTATCATATCAATGTCTTTATTTGAGATCTCACATCTCTTCAGGCATGTTTATTCCCTGCATCTGACATTTGTACCTCTTCCCTCTCTAAATTATTCACTGCTTTAGGCTGGCTAAATGTCAGCACCTCCACA